GTAAGCCGAAGCGTGGTGGGCCCATAACCCACAGGTCCCTGATATTAATTGTGTAATGGCCTTGATTTTTTTACCTACATTGCTGACGTCAGCACATGCATGTATTAAACACAACAATCTTTTGAGCCGAAATGTGACATGAATCGGACTGTAATCCATAGTGCTTGAGCGAGCTGGGTTCAGTTTTCAACCCTCTCGGACCCGTTTCGGTCTTGATTAAGGTAATTGAGGCCATTTTAGAGTAGGAAACAAAACCCACGAGATCTGTTTCGGCCTTGATTAAGGTAATTGAGGCCAGCTATCATGGAACGGGACTCGTTTCAGCCTTGATTAAGGTAATTGAGGCCATTTTAGAGTAGGAAACAAAACCCCAGCAACGTTGGAAGCAGCTATCATGGAACGGGAGCTTACGTTTAGCTAGTTATTAGAGAGTACTTCAGCGATGCTTCGACAGCTCTACAACTGTTTTGGTTCGGCTCACTAGTTTTCGGCATGGTTTCCACCATTTTGACCCTCCTGGACTCGTTTTCGGCCATGATTAAGGTAATTGAGGTCATTTTAGAGCCATATTTTACGTTTATTAAATTATTATTAATTTAATTGTGAAATACTAATGAAAGGTGGCGAATGGTGTGATAGGAAACAAAACCCCGGCAACGTTGGGAACAGCTCTCAAGGAAAGGGAGTTACGTTTATCTAGTTAGGGAGTACTTTGGCTAAAGCCAACCAAGTAAGTAACCTTACTATAGGATAAGCTACAATTGTTTGGATTACAGTTTTATTTATGAGCATGATGATGTATGAGAATGATAATGTATGATGTTTATGATGATGTATGAGTATGATGCTTGAGCTGTAATGCATGTCGAGCCTTGATTCGACCCTACACTCAATAGAAGTTCTCATCTCGAGCTATCTACCCATGTAATCTCAAGTCCTTCTTCAAGATCAGTTTACATGATTGCAATGTTGGCCTTGATTCGACCCTACACTCACAAGTGACTTTGGGATTCTGATGATATTGCTCATACTATTGTTAAGATTGTTAAGGTTTCTTAATCATTATTAGATGTCATGGAGATTTATTAGGTCTCTAGGGACATCTAGGTGATTTAGTCCTCATCTCGTGTTTTTTAAGATGCTTGGGGTTAGCTCCTTGGGGCTAATCCAATCTCTGGATGCACTCAAGTCCAGACATATGATCGCTATTCATAATCTTAGAGTGCTCGATCTATTAGAAATGTATTGGCCTTGGTCAACATGTAAACCGCTCTAGCTCTAGTGCCCTAATCTTAACTTGCTTCACTCATGCATACTTTGTTAGGTAGATATTTCTATCAATCACCTAAAGCACGAAAACATAATCTACTTATTCATGCATGCTTATTAGGTAGATATTCATATCAACCAGTAAGGAAATCATAATCTAAACATTCAAACAAAATCAATAGGGAAATAACACCCATTAGTCACACATACCACATATCCTCCATTCTAGCACAACGAAAAGCATAAAAATTGGTATGCATCATAAATTCTCATCCCAAGGGTATTTCGATAATTTTCTTTAACATATATAACATTTTCATCCAAATAGGCTTTCTAGAGTACTAAACATGCATAATCTACCACCTAAGGTAAGATATACTCGCATGCTAGTGATAGTGTTAATATAACACATGCGGAAGCAATTTGGATCTTAGGCACTTTTAGAACATAATTATAGTAAATAACTAGCATGTTCATAAGTATTAAAACTTAATGAGTTTGAATACTATTCTTTTGTAGTTCAAATTCCTTTTTCCTCACGAACCGGTTTCGAACCACCACTATGTCTTCTCCACTATTCTCCGACCTTAGAACGGGATTGTGGAATCCGGTGAGTGACTAAACTTGGGAGGGATTTAGTATATAGTAAGAGAGAGCTTGTGAGAATTTTCTCAAGGTCTTTTTCAAGGAAGAAGACCTTCCATGTACCATGATCACTCTATTTAAAGAGTCATGTTTGCATGTTCATGCAAATTTGAGATCACCAAATTTTGACACTCAAAATTCCACTCAAATGTTTGGGATTATGTGGCAAGCATGAATGCTTGAGTTAACCAAATTTTGACACTCAAAATTCCACTCAAACTTGTGGGGTTTATTTGGCAAGCATGCAAGTTTGGTTAAACCAAATTTTAACACCTCAAAATTCCACTAACATGAATTTTTCCATTAAATGAAGTCAACATTTTGACTTTCTTCATTTTAATTCAACAATTAATTTGAATAATTAATTTCAAATTAAAGTAACATTAAATGATTAATTAAACTATTTAATTAATATTTAATATTAATTCAAATGTCAATCACAATCAATTATGACACATAATTGATTAACATATTTAAATCTTCTCAAATTCTCTCTTTTTGTTTAATTCGTAAATAAAACAAAAATGCAGTTAAATATACGTATATATGTAGCGCATATTCCCTAATTTGAATTCGAACACTTCGAACTCATTCGTCACACTATTCTATGGTTTTGTCCGATATGAGCTAGCAGAGGGACCTAGTGGACCTATAGATCATGGGCTCCAACGATCCAAGATCAACTGGTTAAACTCATTAACCTTGTTAACCAACATTCGTTAACTACTAGGACACTCCACTATAGCCTAGTAGTTGCACTCCCCTCATTATAGATATATTTCTGTCCATTTGATATAACCATGATTAGTAAGTCGATCCTTCACAGGTTGTTCGTAACTAGAGTTGGATCAATTAGCTGTTTTACGCCTGAAGTTACTTCTTGTTCCTTATGTTCCACTGATCCTCTTATGAACAATTGGTTTATGGTCCAACCAGTAAACCAAATCCCTCTTAGGCCAATGAGTGGGTGGGGCCCCTTGTTCAAGACCTGGAGTCCCTACTTAAGGGAACTACCTCTCTTCTATCCCTAAAAGTGGGTAGGAGCGAATTCCATCTTGCACCCCACGTCCCCAACTATTCACCCAGTCTTACCCCTGAAATGAGAGGCCTATTGAGTCGGCGAACTCGAGCCACTCTCACCCATGCAAATCTAAGGATAATTCCGAATGAACAGGAGTTTATGGTTAGCTCAGGATTAAGATCGAGTTACCTAGGTCATTGAATGAAAAGAAAATTAGTCTCAACAGTAAACGACATTATAAAGAGAGAGCGATTTTCTTCATGGTCTGATCTTATGCAATACTCATTGCATAGAACGCCCCCACTCACATGTCTCCACATGTACAATTTAGTGATCACATTGTTTATATCATATACAAAAGTGGGCCGCATCCATAGTGTCCCCAGAATAAGGTACTCAGCCTTATCCTTATACTATAGATCGTTTTGACTATATACTTGAACTTGATCCACTTTTATGTCTCTACATATAGTTCAAGTAATCATACTATAGCCAGAGTGTTCTTAGTTTATTGAATTTAGATTAATGATCGTAAAGTTCACTTTATTCAATAACAATCTTTACGGAATAATCATCAATAATAACTGTATTGAAAATAGAATATGTCTTTGTTTACAAACTATGAGTTTTAGGACATAAAATCCAACAGCTAGTATGTCCTTGCACAAGCATTACTTGAGAAGAGTGAGAATGATTATTTATATGGATGACGCATGCCTTGCCGAGTTAGCTTTTCCTTGTGTTAGGAACTTTAAATTTTTCAAAATTTCTCTAGTATAACCTAATTCAAATCATAATGTGGTTAACATCGAAATCGTAGAAGAACAATCGAATAGAGGTCAAAACATGTAAAAACTAGAGCGATACAAAGGTGATTAGCATGACCCCTGTAGAAGGATGACACACACCAATCAAGAAATGGTATAAACTTTTTATAAATCAGAGTGGTGCAACGGAAGCGTGGTGGGCCCATAACCCATAGGTCCCAAGATAAAAACCTGGCTTTGATATCAATTACAATGCCCTTATTAATTTCAAGGAACAGGAGCTTACGTTTAGCTAGTTAGAGAAGAGGTACTTCAGCAATAGCTTATTACAATGACGTCCTAGTTTCCTCCACCATTTCGACCCTCTCGGTGAGACCATTTTAATGATGTATGAATATGATGTTTGAGCTGTGATGCATGTTATATGTATGTGATTTATGTTTTGATGCCCTCGATGACTTATTATTGATGAGTACGATTTTTCATAGTATCGTTACGCTTTCTTAATCATTCTTAGATGTCATGGAGGCTTATTGGGTCCTTAGGGGCATCTAGGTGATTTAACCCTCATCTCGCAATTTTTTATGATGCTTGGGGTTAGCTCCTTGGGGGCTAACTCAATCTCTGGGTGTACTCAAGTCTAGACATATGATTGCTACTCATAATCCGAGAGTGCTCGATCTATTAGAAATGTACTGACCTAGGTCAACATATAAATCTCTCTAGCTCTAGTGCCCTAATCTTAGCTTAGATCACTCACGCATACTTTGTTAGGAAGATATTTCTATCAATCACCTAAAGCATAAAAAACATAATCTACTCATTCATGCATGCTTATTAGGGATATATTCCTATCAACCTATAAGGAAATCATAATCTAAACATTCAAGCAAACTCAATGAGGAAATAACACTCATTAGTCACCTAGAACACATACCATAATATCTTATCCTCCATTCCAGCACAGTCGAAAGCATAAAAATCAGTATGCATCATAAATTCTCATCCTAGGGGTATTTCGTTAATTTTTCTTAACATATAAAATATTTTCATCCAAATAGTCCTTTTAAAGTCCTAAACATGCATATTCTAACACCTAAGGAAAGATATACTCGCATGCTATTATGTTCTTACCCAAGCATTACTTGAGAAAAGTCAGAATGACTACTTATATGGATGATGTATGCCTTGTTGAGCAAGCTTTTTCTTGTGTTAGGAGCTTCAATTTTTCTAAAATTTCTCTAATATAACCTAATTCAAATCATAATAAGGTCAACATCGAAATCGGGGAAAAATAATCGAATATGGGTTAAAACGGGTAAAAATCGGAATGATACGGAGAAGATTAGCATGGTTCTTGTGGAAGGATGACACACACATATCGAAAAATTGTCCAATTTTTTTATAAATCAAAGTGGTGCAATGGAGTGTGGTGGACCCATAACCCATAGGTTCCAAGATCAAAACTTGGCTTTGATATGATGCACAACCCCAAGACATGTTTTTGAAAGTTATGATATAAAATCATATGATATAAGAAAATTAGGAGAGAGGTTGTTTTACCTTGTTTAATTAATGTGAAAAAATGTTTGGGACCTCATGAATTATTGTATGTTACATGCATCGGTGCCGGGTCATTAGATAGGAATCCGAAAATGAAGAGAGACAAAGAAATATTTTTAGAGTAAGCATTCTCTATCTTAACCTGTTTTGACACCAAGAAATGCAGTGAAGTTATTTCTAGAAAAGAAATAAGAAAATTTTGTAAGAGTTGAGTCGTTCATTACTGAAAATTGTATTTCATACCTACAATTATATATTGTGGGGGACTCTAACAGGGTCGTTCAATGGAAAAAAGTAAGAATAAGAAAATGAGAGTGATCCAGATTTATCACAGCTATAGAAGAATTTCAATATTGGACTCAACTCAAAGGTTCAGACTGTATGTACGATTTATCTGATCTTATAACTAGTTATAATTTTTTTTTTCTAGTAAATCATGAATTTGTCTCGGACAGTATTAAAAATCTTATCGAAAGCTTACGGCAGCTTG